GGGGGGGGTGTCTTGCACGTAATGAACAATAGTCGGTTAAAGCTGCTGTCACAGATCTTGCAGAACGTTATCGGTTTCATGGCTTTAGTCCGCTGATGTGATGGCACACAATTGAGCAGTCCACGTCAACTGTGTTTGTCGTTTTGTCCTTTCTTTTTTTTTTTTGCAGATTCTGAGAGCTTACTCGAAAATGGGATTGCCATTGGACTACTGTCTTCACTCGAATAGATCGCCTGGTCATTATCGCAGTATCTGGTCTGGAAGTTGCCACAAGTACAGTGATAACGACCGGGTGTTTCTATTCGGGTGAAGACAGCAGTCGCTCAGTTGATACACCCATGGAACTGATGAAATACAGACTCAACTCGAAACCGGATACTGCGAAGATGAACAGAATAAGATCATTCAGTAGCAGTCCTGGATTATGGCCGAAGGAATCGGAATGTCTGTTTGTCGTCTGTTGAAATGTCTCACTGGGGTTGTGAAGGGGTGGGCGGGCGGGCGGGCGGGCGAGCGAGTGGGCAGGCACTACTCATGGGTGTCAATTGGACTATGCTGCTGACAGTGCAGAGTGAATGCTTTCTGGTCAGTGAATGCCTTTTCTTTTTTTTTGGTTTCAAACTTGAACAGCGTAACGCTGAATGTCGGCCCTGGTTTGCTTATGTGCAGGTATTGGCCAAAGTAATGATGGGCGGAGGAACCTTCTGGCACGGATGGAGGTGAGATTCCTTGCCTCTTGTTCGGAAGTTGTTCCAAACTTCATCATCTTGCCTTGATGTATTATTATATTTCATCCTTCCTTTGCATTTTGCCAGCGTGTGCATTTACGCTATGGCTGCTGCTAATCTGTGTGTTGAAAATGCATGTGTATTGACTCTCGAGTTGTATCGAGGAGTGATGCGCGATTGTACTCCGCTTTGGGCTTTGACAGCAGGTCTGCAGCTATGCCAGGCTGGTCCATTATGATTAACCTGGACAAGGATGGGAACTTGGGAAGTCTTGGCCATTTCATCCTTTTTTTTAATTATTATTTCAATCAATCAATTAATTATTTAACTTGGACGTATGCATGTGTATTGAGTCTTGACTCTCGAGTTGTATCGAGGAGTGATGCGCGATTGTACTTCGCTTTGGGCTTTGACAGCAGGTCTGCAGCTATGCCAGGCTGGTCCATTATGAGTAACCTGGACAAGGATGGGAACTTGGGAAGTCTTGGCCATTTCATCCTTTTTTTAATTATTATTTCAATCAATCAATTAATTATTTAACTTGGACGTACGACGACCTTGCGCTGGGGTTGTGCTAATCTTCTCTGTATCGCTCCAATTTTGGTGGATTTCCCGAAGAACTTGGGCATTTCATCATGTCCTTATGCGGTAATTTTGCCGGTAAACGATTACAAAATCCTATATCCTTCTATAATACTATTGTGTCGTGTTCGTTCTCGATGTCCTAATAAATGTATTCGTACGCGCGGCCTTGGTATTCGCTTTCGTTTTTTGAAGGTTTTTCTTTTTCCTTTTCCTTTCCTGTCTTTTACTTTCGCTTGAAAATGGCGACAGCCTTGAGATATCATCGTCGATCTGGCTGCCCCCAGGTAGGAAATCCAGAATCATTTTATGTCCATTCATCTGGATTCCAACTGGGGTCTCAGCTATTTCAACACAGTTCTTGGGCACGCAGTGAACTCAGCTAGACCCGTCGGTGCTCCTATGCGCTTTCCCCTTTTCTACGTTTGCAGCGTCTTCTTTTGCCTTGTGCTTTCCCCTTTCTACGTTCGCGATGTCTTCGCAATTTTTCTCCAAAACAAGCAAACTCGCCTTGTGCCTTTTTTTTTCCCCCTTTCCCTAAAGGCGAAAGAATAGTACGCCATCTGAGATGGGCACGCAGTGACTAACCTTGTGCCTTTATTATTTGTAGTATGTAGTATGTAGTAATTGCTAATCCGCCTCTGCATCTGATCCTGCACCAGTTTACATGCCTCTCTCTCCGGTCAGACTGTCCTTTCTCTGCTGCATCACCATGCAGTGGCACATGATGTCATGCACATCATTGCTTTATTGAAGTCATGTTTGCCTTCTCTGTACCATTTCAATTTCTATGGCCGTCTGTGGGTGGAACTACCGTCTTCACCCGAATAGAACGCCCAGTCATTATCGCTGTATGTAGACTGAAAGTTGCACCAAATACGGCTATAATGACCGGGCGTTCTATTTGGGTGAAGACGGTAGCTCTAAATGCCAGCAGCAGTTCTATTCTAGGATGAGTGTAGTGGTATTGATGTGGAGGATTTCACAAGACCGGAAGCAGCCAGATACAGCATGAAAATTGTGTGCTATTAGTGTGCGTTCAAGTACGCAAGTGGTTGGAGAATCGTGTGTAAATGATATATTATTACACGCTGCGCACCAAATTGCAAACAAACCGTGCAAGCTGGTCTTATGTCTACTTTCTTCTCTCGAGCAGCAAGTTGCGATCAAAGCAGTGTGACGGCAGTGAGTGCCAGGAGTGTCTCGAGTGTCTCTCACACGTCCTGGTAAGTCGAGTTTGTGGTGTCTCCCCACAGCACGTGCACACACTCTTTTCCTCTTTTGAAATTCCTGAGCTTCTTGGGCATGCAGTTTGATAGGCGCGATTCGACCTCAGCCAGCAAATGTCTTACCAGTCAAGGCCCTCTCCTTTTCATCTTTTCGAATGCCCTAAACTCGGCCAGTTTCGAGGGCATCCTCATGGTAGAACTGTTTCGGCTGATTTGCATTGCGAGTGTGAGGGGCTTCCTTCGACCATGTCCTGTTCTGAGTATGCCCTTTAGTCCCTACGAACCGACTGACTTAGGGACTACCAAACTCTGCTCTAAGCACTCCTAGGTGAGCTTAGCGTAGCTTAGTGTGTTGACGTTTGGCCGTCGGGATGCTGCGTCTACGCTGGCCCTTCTCTTAAGCTAGGGTTGTGTCAAAGGTGTCTTATGGGGCTGTGACGTTTGCGATCCATCCGTCCTATTTTGTATCTTAGTAAAGATCGAAAGATCGCACTCGTCAAAATATTCAATTTCCGTTCTGCCTTTGAGGCTTTTACGTGTCTGCACTGTCACTTTTAACTTTCTCAGGCCTGTAACTGGGGTTTCAGGGGTCAGATTTTACCTGAGGCTTTTACCAGTACCCTATTACGTAATTCCCTAGGGTAACATTCCCTAGGGTAACGGATATGGAGCTCGGAACTCAGTTTTGGACACTTTCAGTAGAGTTCACTCCCCGACCYCCCCCCCAAACCCCTTCCCCCCCCCCCAAAAAAAGAAAAAAGAAAAAAGAAAAGAAAAGAAAAGAAAAAAACAACCCTGGCCCCTGGCCTCTGACTGGTACCCTACTAGCTAAATCCTTAGTTGGATCAACTTATTACACTCTATAGACTGACGGTTTGACCCCTGAACTCGTGTGGAAATTTGAAATTTCCATTGGAGTTGGCTTTTCCTCCCCGCACGTTCATTGGCATTGACTTTTGCTCCCTGCATTTTCATTGGAGTCGACTTTCATTGGTCCTCAAAAGCCTCATAGGGACTGACATATAAACATTTTTTGCACGAAAGGCACTCCCTCCGAGACTGGCATGATTACTCGATGTAATTGTGATCCTGACCCCACGCTCTTTGTGTGCGCGCGGGGCAGGAGGGGGAGAGGAGAAGGGGGGGCATGTGTATTGTTTTTTTAATTATCTTTTGTTCTTTTTTTTTTTGGAAAGCATGATAAAATTGAGTGCAAAATCGTAGGAAAGAGGCTGGGGACCTCACAATTCGACCTGAAAGGCCGGGGCCATTACCCAGTTTCGGCTCAAGAAATGGAAAAGACTGGGAACCGGGCCCAGTGTCCCTTTGCTATCCAAGTACATTCCAAAAAGTAAAATGATCAGAAGAAAAAAAAACTTTTTGTCAGTATAAAACGCTGGGCTGTTTTCCCGCGCTCCCGGGCACCCAACTTCTGCCGGGGTACACGCCCGGGTGCCCGGCCGGGCATGACCCCCGGGCAGGGTTCCGGCAGTCCCAGCGCCCAAAAAAAAAAAAAAACTCAAAAGATTCGGGAAAAAAAAATGTTGTGTAGGATTGAAATACAAACGACTTTTGGCTGAGGGTCACATTGTAATTCCTCACAGAATCGGAGATAAAAAAGAAAATAACAGCCCCTTTAAAACCAATTTATACCCAGCCAACTCACAAAAAACGAAATGAGCCCGGATTTGGAGTCCTCTGGGAGAGCGCAGAAAACCAAAAAAAAAAATAAAAAAAAATTGCACACCCAGGTACCCCGGGCGTCACGCCCGGGTGCCCGGCCGGGCAGGACCGACCGGGCATGAGAATCTTCCTAGAAAAAAAGTAAATGATCTCTTTTTTGTGTTGTACTTGTTTCATTAAAAAAACATAGTGGGAGTTTGTCAGATGTGAAAGTTTACATGTTCTGTTTTTGAAGACGGAGAGGAAGGAGAAAGGAGAGAGAGGGAAAAGAGGAGGAGAGAGGGGAAGAAAGAACCAAGGATGAGCCACCCTCTGCTGGAGTGCCCAGCCATTTGTTCGGTTTAGCATCATGTATGGAGCAATTGTGGGGTCAACTAGGCCTTGGAGCTGCTACTCTTCCCTTGAATCAAACGGACGGCCGTAATCCCTGTGTATGTACGCTGAAAAATTACACGAATGTGACTGTAGTGACTGTATGTTGTATTCGAGGAAAGACAGTAGTGGCATCAACTGTAATTGTGAAAGTGACATGGAGTTCCATGCTGAGGTCTTTCCCAGAGGACAAGTGTTTCACGGTGTTGTGCGGGATGTAATTTTCCAGCCCCACACTGTCCCAATTGCTTCCCGGTGTCCTTCTGGTCCGCTGCCGGTCCTCCCTGGCTGACTTCGACGATGTCCTGCCTGTAAATCTGCGATCCTGACAGCTGGGAAAACCACGTCTAAATCTAGGCCAACGTAGACCACACATGGACATCTGGCCCCATATAGACGAGGCGGCCCATCTGGTCCAGCCAATGATTTCTATGGTTGGTACAGAACCATGGCCAAGTGACGAAAATGAGGCCCAGTATCGTGCATGTGGGGTCTGGGTGGGACTCTGTGGATCCTTGCAGGCAGGCAAGTCGATGTTCAAGCGGGATGAGATGGCAATGGCGCAGGGGGAGGGAGGGGCAACAGCAGGCAGTTGAATGGTCACGTGGCTGTGCCTTGCCAGAGGTGGCTAGGTACGAGCAGATCACATAATAAAGGATGACGACAAGAAGACGTGATCACTCTTCCTCGCCCTTTCTCTGATCTTTCTGACATTATCTCTATCCACTATTCTCATTCTTCTCTCTCTCTCTCTCTCTCTCTCTCTCTCTCTCTCTCTCTCTCTCTCTCTCTGCATCTGAGTCTCTCTGTATCCCTGTGTTTCCCCATTCTTTGCCTCTGTCTCGCTCTGTCTCTCTCTGTCTCTGTCTGTCTGTCTGTCTGTCTCTCTCTGTCTCTGTCTGTCTGTCTGTCTGTCTGTCTGTCTGTCTCTCTCTCTCTCTCTCTCTCTCTCTCTCTCTCTCTCTCTCTCT